GTCTGCCCTTCTCAATTTCGATTTAAAGCTTTCGTGACTGCAGGAATTCATCTTCTTGGTTCTTTCGGTAAAGTCACGTCGAAGGGAAGTAATAAAATAATAAAAATAAAACATAATACAATTTTTCTCACGACGCAAGCAGCCGTCCTCAGGTGACGACCAGGTCTGTCGGGGAGACAGCGAAGACCAGGTCTGTCTCCCCGACAGACCTGGTCTTCATCTGAGGACGGCTGCTTGCGTTGTGGCCGAAACGTCGTGAGAATTATTTTATTATGTTTTATTATTTTATTACTTCCCTTCTACGTGACTTTACCGAAAGAACCAAGAAGATGACTGCCCTTCTCACTTAATATTCCACCCAGCCCCTCCCCATGTCGTGAATTACTCATTACGGCTGGCCCGGTTAACCTTTTTGAACCCATACAATATTAAGCCAACTCAAGGGCACTGCAATGTCACCTGTCCTGCGAGGGTCGGCCAATCTCCTGGCGCTGAAAAACTGTGGAACTTTCCTCCTCGGGACAATACCCCGCCAGGACACTACGTGTGTGTGCTGCGTGTGTATGCTCAGTGTGGGGGCCAGGAGGGGGGTCACGGCACTTGCAGAGTTTCTTCGAGGCCGTGGCACCACATATTACCGTCCGGCACCAACGAGGAGGTAGGGGGTTGCTTTGCCTTACCATCAGCTCCACCAAAACTAAGCACCTTCCTGGGTATTTTGTACCATCAGACACTCCCACCCTCAACAACTCCCAATTGGTGATGGGGCAGTTGTGGAGAAGTGGAGAGTTTTCCATACCTGGGCAGTGTGATCATGACCGACTCCAGTTTGACAGCAGAGGTCTCACTCCGATCAGTCAAGTGGCATTATCTTTCAATCGGCTAAGTAACGCTGTGTGGAAGTTATCTGGTCTGTCGCTCAACACGAAGCTTCAAGGTCTTCTTGGTCATGGCCATGCCCTCCCTTCTCTACGCTTGCGAAACGTGTACCCCCCCCCCCCCCCCCTAATAAACCATCTTCACCGATGAGAAACATTTAGGCTGGCCTGCCTACGATCCATCCTGGTTTTAACCGGGCTGGATTGTGAGGAGCTCACAAATCCTTGAAAGATCTGGACAAAGTCCCATCAGTGAGCACCTCCAGCAGGCAAGGCTGCGTTGGCTGGGTCATGTAGCCCGCATGCCCAGCCACCGCATGCCTAAACAGCTTTTGTTCGGTCAGATAGAGGAGGCTAAACGGGAGTGGCACGGGCTAGAGAATAGATTGAGTGATGTGGTACAAGAGGACGTGGAGCTGAGTGGACTTGCCAATGACTGGTACCAGCGGTTTCAAGATCGGCTACTGCTGTAGAGGTTCGTGAAGGACGCTGCTGGGGAAGTTGGAGGCAGTCGTGCTTCAAGCTACAACGGAGGGCAGAGGAGCGACGCTCACGAGTGGAGCGCCGGGCGGCTAAAACACAGAAAGTTGGCACAGTTGGGGTACAGGTGGTGCATCGGCCATTCATCTCAGTCAGTCGACCCATGGCACCTGGGTCTGCCCCGTGACCTCCTGCCAGCGGGCGTTCGACACTTCACGTGGCCTCAAGGTGCACATAGCCTGGCACAAGCGCCGTGGTGACGTCACTACCACTTAATGGCGAATGGTGGTTGTTGTTGTGTTTGTGATGGAGCGCATTGTGTTTTTGTGATGGAGGGAATTGTGTACGTTTGTGGGGGGCAGTGTGTATGTTTGTTATTGGGGGGCATTGTGTATGTTTGTTATTGGGGGGCATTGTGTATGTTTGTGAGAGGGCACTGTGTATGGTTGTGATGGAGGGAATTGTGTACCGGAGTTGACGCAGGTGGTGTTTACGTACGAAGTATGTTCGACAGAGATGAGCTTGTTGGTGGCTTTACAGGCCCGAGCACAAGTAGATGGTTGCCAACAGGCATCTGCTGCGTTTTAACTTAACAGCTGTTGCTGAGAACCGTCAGTTATTGTAGAGTGGAACCGGATGGTTAAGCGTTAAAACGGGTGCTAACGTGTAAATAATGTCTAAGGTTGAATGATTGGCACAGATTGTAGCGTCGTATGATGGTGAATCAAAGGAGGTGAAGGTTAATAGCGTACTTAACGTGGTATAATGTAACCAGCTAAAGCTGAGTGAAGGGTGATTTTCCAGGTTGCCTAAATTGACAGATGGTGCCCAGAGAACTACGCGGTGATGATCAGAATACAATATTGCAAATATTCAATCTCCTGCCACAGATAACAATCAGTGACGGGTGATATCAGAACCAGCCGTGGGCCTCCTGCCTCCCCTGCAACAACCCGTACTAACGAACGTGAAGTAATGGTCAAACAACCCCCATGACCGACACAGCATGGGGCGGCCTTCATCCAGTAGTGGATTAACAAAGGTCTGTAAATTACTATTTGTATTCTTGGTTCTTTCGGTAAAGTCACGTAGAAGGGAAGTAATAAAATAATAAAAAATAAAACATAAAATAATTCTCACGACGTTTCGGCCACAACGCAAGTAGCCGTCTTCAGGTGAAGAATGAAACACTGCCAAGCTTGGAGCGTATATATAAGCTGGGTTGGAGGTGGAAGAAGAGCGCCTTGACAAAAATTTGCATATCAAGAGGAATTTAGCATATTTATGGAAAATACGTAGGAGGTGGAAAGCTTTAAATCGAAATTTACTATTTGTATTCAAGAAAGCCTGAGTCTCAAGAGTGGCTCGAAAAGTGGCTCATGAAGATGCTTTTCTTAAAAAGTCGGTTACAATTGTTCAATGTGGGCTATTTTAAAGAAATAATTACCTGAACTATTGACACACTTTATAATAATCTCACAGTTCATGTCACCAACTAGCTGGCTAAAACCTAACCATATTGTTTTCGTTTAGAAGCCAATGTTTGTTTGCAAATGAAACGGAGGAATTATATTTAAATCATTCACAATTGCAACAGCGGGCATTTGTGTACATATCAAGATAAAAAATATATGGGCATCTTTTCATTGCTTATTGACATGATGAAAGCTCGTCGTAAAATGTTAGTGGATTGTACAAAACTCCCTTCCCATGGGCGTCAAGGTGCAATATCCTGGCTTACCAGGAGAATGCGATGGAGAAAAGTGTGAACTGTTATCATGTCCCTTTGTATGGGTTAGTGTGCCTCCCTTGCACACGTGGCTTTTCTCCGAGTCCTCAAGTTTCCTCTAATATATATTTTAAAAAACTTTTGGCTGAAACCATCTTAATATATAGAGGACCGCAAATCGTGGTCAAGTTGGCGCCGGTTCATCACATGGCTGTCTTCCTCAGCAAGAGTCAATGCAATTTGCATGAAGGACGCTGTATAAAACAAACATGGTTTGCTTGTTTGGAACTATAGATCAGTTGTCATTTTAAATACCCATTGACATAACCATTCCCAATAACGTTAGTTTTAAGATTTTATGTCCGACTATTTACGACGGTGCAAGTAAGACCAGAAACAAGTTATTGATTTACTGATGGATCGTCTGAAATCCAAAGGTAACATATACAAAAAGCGCAATTGCAATGGCTCATGAAAAGTGGGTGCCATGTCCATTTGTTGTTAAATTTGGCCAAATTACTTCGTTAACAGTCTATGTTGTATCTTCACGTGTGGTTATGCTGGGTCAACGTTAACTGTGGCTTTTAAATTACACCAATGTAAATAATTAAAATTAATTGTACATTTCTGAAGTACCGTAATACAAGGTGTGGTTAGACTGTAATTAACTTGTTTTACATTCTATAGGACACCTGACTGTGCTGAAGATAAAATGCAAACGCTTTGACGGATTCCAGCCTGGATCACAAATAACACGTCATTAAAGCCATATAGGCATATACACGTGCACAGACGAGAACACGTTCCACCATGTAAACCCACTGCTGAAGACCCTCTAACGCCGCGTCGGCCACATAGTGCAGAGTACAGGACTCTATTAGAACAATAATTACTTCTTTACGTCACATTTCTCGTATTACATGTTGAGGTATACAGTATATGGAAAAGGTATAATTATGCATTGGTCAGACGACTTTCTTTTTCTAAAACATTAACTCAATTATAACTCTTGCAGAGCAGAGAGCACCATCATCCTGTTCGAGCACGGTCAATAAACGCAAAATTGTACGGAACTTCTTCTGAAGTAACAGTTTACCCACACTAGGGTGAGGGGGCACACTTGCCAACATAACCCAACTAGACTCAAGCCGGTAACTCAAACCCAGGAACCTTAGGGGGGGTGCTGGCTGAAGGCTGACTTTTTAGTAATGTTGGTGCTTCTAGATTTGAAGCTTTCGTGACTGCAAGGATTCATACTTAGGTTTTTTCGTTAAAGCCACGGAGGTAAAAATAAATAGGAGAAATAATATTAATAGAATAATAAATCACGGCTGTCATGTTCTAGATTCATAAGCACCCTCTGCACTACTAAAAATAACTGGATTGTGAAACATATCTATCGTGTGCCAATTAAAACGCGTTGTATGGCCAGGTGGCTCGGCAGTTGAGCAACTTGGTGCTCATAGGTTGAGTTCAAATCCTGGTTGGGGGTTGACTCGGCCCTTTAGCGCTGTGGTGGATGGAATGAGCACCAGTGAGGAAGTCAACGGCGATTAGCCTATTAATACTCACGCCGGTCATAGGAATGCGGAATTTCCACTACCTGCTCAAGACTGTACACAGGGCATGAGCATCGCCTCAAAGCTTTGAGAAAAACAAAATCACTTGACGTATTAGGTACAGTATGTTTAGTGTAAAGCGGCAGCGCAGTCATGCAGAACGTTAATTAGTTGTGTGGTGTTAAGTATGATCATTACTAAAAGTTAAGATTTTATTTTAGAAACACACATCAATGTTAAACCACAGCTCAAAGTTGAAACATAGAATACATCTATAAACATAGGAATACACCCTGCAAGGCATCGTATACATGTTTATAAAAAGTGTATATTACAATGAAAACGGCACACACAGTGGTTTAATCGTTTATTGTATGCATACACAGCTGACTTACAGCAGAACAAGAAAAAACAATTTTTTTAGATCGAGTCTATTTGGCTCAGTATTCACGGTACTGCACCAAATAGAGTGGAAGTTCCCAATAGTCCAGTGAATATTATCAGTGCCTTACCTGGGAAGTTCTGCAACTTAAGTGGACGGCGCCACCAACACACCCAGGTAGCCAACTTCACCAAATACTATTGTTTGCAGTAACAACCCTCTAAACGCTTTTAGAAATGCGGTTCACGTGCTAAATGGTCACCCCAAATCTTCCCGAAAAGCATACGACATTGCGTGGTAGGTTAAGATTACAGAATACCGTAAATTAAATCAACTATTCATGCAATATCTTTAAAAAAATCGTTGGATATCCATGGTTTGGGAAAGGACGATGGGATTGAAATGTACCATATCAACAGAATCGGTTTAAGGCTAAGCAATTGAGTAAGTTAAAACGATTGTACCAGGTGAGCTTCAGCTGCTTGATAAGTGAACCGATTAAGCTGCACTGTGATGCCTTGTACCATTCGTTCACCCATTTGAAGAACGAGTGTCTGAAGTTGTATGGTGCACTTGTGCCCATTTCGTAGTTACGATTCGCATACCATGGCAGATGTTCCTAATCTAGCAGGACAAAACATATTCTTAGTTTTTTTTACATTTAGTTGAATTTTTAAAATTCAGTGGAATTATTAAACACCAACAGGAACAATCTCTGCTTAAATTTAAACGTACGTGAGTTCGCATTAATTTAGCATTCTCTGGCTAAAAGTAAACACACTGCATGATATAATTCGCAAAATGTTTACCTACGTGTGAAATGCCCTAAAGTAGATAATGGATGAAAATATTTTCACCTGCAAAAATAGCCTTAACCTGCATATCCGGATAATGTTGCTACTGTATCTGGAAGTTAACCGAAGTACTCACACCGAGCACCAACGCTATATCGTTCATCGGGTCTCTTCGAAATTAGCCATTTGAGAATTATGCGTTTTGCAAGTGTGCTCGACAAAAACCACATTAACAATACTGTACTGCCATGTTCATGGTGACGATAGCCTTCGTGACATAAGGTACATGCCAGCTTGTCTCCGTCATGAAATGCTCGTGAATTACAATGGCATTTTCCCACGACAGCCAGGCCCTCTGATAACACCAACTACTTGAAAAGTTTTTTTATTTTCCCCATTTACTGGCTGTTTACATTTAAGTATCTAACCAAGCAGCTGTTTTTTACCAAAGTTTCAAGGTTCGTTTTATATGCACTGAAAGGTTTCCCTTGTGTATGCATAAACACCAATATATTCGGTAGCTAATCAAAACGAATGTATTTTGGATTCACACAAAATCTTAATAATTTTACAAACATTTGAAAATGTTAACCTAGCCAGTAATCACGGGGTCCTTTTGTATTTCTCCAAGCTGTTATGCATTTCTTAGCGTTGAAAGGGTTGTGTTCATATGCTGTTCAGAAATTTATGCTGTTCAGAAATTTATACTGTAAATTCAGCATAAAGCCAAGAAAAAGCAAATAAATGCACCGCAAAATCATTGCAATTTAATTTACTTATTTCTTTGTAACATCACTTTTTTTGTTTTAGATTTAATGTAACTAGAATATATTTTAAAGTTTTTTTGTATGTTTTTTTATTACTTTTACACTTAGTAAAATAGCCACTAACAAGCTGAAACTAGACGCTGGCCATCGGCAAAGCGTTCCAGTTTCAAACATACTTATGGCCACTCACTACTGTAAGACACAAACCTCACATCCAATCACATAGAGCAGTAATACAGGAATTTGTGAGTAAGCAAAACAACAAGCCTGACACCGGAACACACACACAATCAACAATTTCACCCAGACAGCCATTAGGGTTTAACAAAGGCTTTCAGAAAAATTTAACCACCCACATACACATTTACTAGTGGCTTTCTGTATGTTTAATTCACCAAATTTAAGATCAAGATTCAGCATCTTTTCTATTACCCTTCGGTTAAAAGTGAGAATGTTCCATTAAGCCATTAAAAGCTACAGCCACTAAGCAACCCTTGATGGTATCTGAACAAGTCCAATTATAAAAAAAAAACCACAAATGGCCATAATGCCTTTTACAATACCCTGCAATGAAGAATGACAGCGTGTACATGCTTAAATTTAACAAAACTGAACAGGTACTGTAATTCTAAAGCGGTTTTAAGCATGTGCTTGCAGAAATCTTGCTAAAGGCACTATGAGGCAAAGTTTTACGAAGGACTCTGTTTCAAAGTGGCTCTGTTGGGAATATCTTTCCAATGTTGACATTTTCTAGGAATTACAGGCACACAAGTTATACGCAATACATCCAAAAACATCGTACATACAGTTTATACATGTCACGTCACAAATGGGAAGCAGTTGGGCCAGTGGTTGAGATGAGCAATGTTTTTGCAAATGGTTTAGAATATTATCACAGCATCGTATATTACAGATTTGTATTCATGAACCTAGAACCGATCAAATTATCCTGTGAGCTTACGAGAACATGAATATAAATTTGTCAAGGGTTAAAAGCCACAAGTTAATCGATACAGCCCAACCGAGGGTATTAGAGATGTAGCCATTGACCCAAGAGTGTTATGAAGCACATGGGCTACAATAAGCGGCTGAGGTGTGGACTCGAGTCATGTGACTTGGACTCGAGTCAGACTCGAGTCATGAATTTGATGACTTCAGACTCGACTTGGACTTGCATAACAATGACTTTGTCCCACCTCTGAATTAAGCGGTTCAAATTGGTGGCGTTTTAATGTACACTGCATACATACACGATATGTACACAAACAAAAATATATAAACACACAAGTATAATTTTTGCTTACAGTTGTGTGTTCATATATATTGTAACTGTATGCACACATACAATACACACATTCTACTTAACCTGCCAACACGCCACAAATTCAAAATGCACTCAGGAGGGGACATACTGCATTTTGATTTTAGAAATGGTACTCGACTACACCACGTGTCATGCATTAGTGTACCATCCTTATTCCAATGTAAAAGTGTTTTTGTCAACAGGCCAGTGAGCGAGCCACTTCCAAACCCACTCAACTATTACTTAAGGATTAAACGGTGCCGTTTGGTTTTCAATTATGAATGCAATATGGTGGAATGCTACACAATGCCAAAACACCTTGAGTGCACCCGAGTACAACTCGTAAGATGGTGTATTCCTGTACCAATTATTTAAAAACGCTCCCTCCAGCACATATACATAAGTTTGTTATTTTCCTTGTCACCAATAAAAAAAGAAAGTTCACTTAAATGCAAACTAGAAATACTGCAAATCAAAAAAAAAACTTTAAAAATCAAACACCAAAAGATATTGTAGTATTACTTGTTAAATATAAATTTAAAATGTTGAAGATGTGGAATGCAAATAAGCTTAATAATTTAACACTTCAATCTTAGCACTGACATGCTTGCAGTCATCTGGGATAAACTAGACTTCCTGTATATTGCCTATTATGTTGCAGTAGTGGAAGCCTGTCAATTTCCCCAATTCCAACATAACACGCACACAAAACCAGTTTAAAACTTATCCGCAAATACAAGTGTATGCCTCTCAATCTCGTGTTTTCAGCAACCACCAATTGAGATGGAACTGTTGCTTTGCCCACTTACGGGAACAAAACTGAAAGCCACTTTAAATACAGGTCCTGTGCATTACAGATGGTAAAATAACATGTCACTTTCAGGCAACTATACATCTAAAATGCACATGACACCAAGTTGTGAAATAAATGTTCATTCTGCAAAAAATATATCTAAGGAGCCCCAAATATCTTCATCTCTCAGCATGTAGAAAACATGCAACCGAGGCTAAATGGAAAATGTGAGTTTAGTTCTTAATGTTACAGCTTTCAATATGCATTCAGGATTTTATTCCCATTATACAAATCAGCTCTCAAATTTGCAATCCTTAAACAAATCAGTTTTGGAAGCTGAAGCATAATCACATTTGTAAATGCACAAGATCCACATGGAGGTACAACCAGTCTGCAAAATAGCACACTAAATTATTCAATGTCTGCATATATTTTAAACCCAAGTGATGAGCATTGTAATGGTGAACTTCCAGACCTGGAAAAAGTGATGTCAAAGCTACTGCATGTATTTCAACTTGACCCGTTTTACATAATTCAACATCATGCATGCCAGAGGTTTTTAATGCACGACTTGAACTGAGGGAGGTAAACTCTTACGTATACATTCAACACCATCAAACTCGTAATGCCCTTATCTCTGCTCAAAACTTAACCCGGAGCTCAATAATAAATTTTGGTTTCAGAATTGTATCATTATAATTCAGTTTAATTCAGCATTAAATGAAAGCATTATTGCATTTAACTGTCAATTTTTTTTGTTTCTCATAAAAACACAATTCATACCTTTTGCCAAAGTACAGGGGAGCTCCGGGTTTCAACTAGAACTGGGCGATCCGATTTATGTAATCTATTATTACAGTTTGCTTAGACTAATTGAAGAACAAAAATAGTTGTAAAAGGTTTTACCCATTAAATGTGCCACTGGCCACTGCATCAGCTACATCCACGCTGAGCATTGCTCGTCAGGGGGCTTCTGCCACAAAGCAGTTCCATTTTTTTCTCATTAATCAACTAAATCATCCTAGCTTGAGTTTGGATTCATTGAAGCTCACCAACTTGTCAAATTCACCCTCTACCAACAACCATAAAACTACCCTTTACCTAAAGGTTTTGAAGAATTAAATTTTCACTTGAATTCCAGAACCATATTTCAGATGTTATGAAACCGTCAGGAGTTTCACCACACATCAATATCTGAATGGGAGAAGACTGTACACAATTTGTATGCATTCAAATGTTCAACAAAATGTTAAATTTAAACTGGTAAACTGATCTAATTAATAATTTGACCTTGTGCATTTACAAACGTAATAAATGTGCACTGCAAAAAACGCCAGTCCAAAACCGAAACTACGTGCAGACCACAACTGCAGTATGTTTTATTTTATAGATAAAGCATTAGACTATGCAACAAAGGAAGCTCAGACATTCTGCATGCCACAAAATGTAAACGTTTACATTTTAAGCCTTAAAACTTGTACTTTTTAACAATCAGGCCTAGCCAATGTAATTGAAAAACAAATTTAGTTTAGCCCATTGTTTAGTTATAAGTTCAATTTGTTACGGTTTACAACATTTTTTATTGAAAATGACTCCCTATACCCATAGCAATGAAGCTGAATTATTTTTTATTTCTGTGAAAGGTCTAGTTCAAATACTGTCAGCTTAATATTTACACATCCGCATACATTTCTCAGCTGAAATTCTGTTATGCATTTTCTGTGCATCCATGAGGGCAACCTGCATATGGTAGCTTACAAATTCTAATAGTGTGTAAGGGCTGTATGTTAGTATCATTCAAATTTGGTCTACTTAAAAACAGGAAATCAATTGAACAGATGCATGGGTGTCAAGGTTTATCTCGTTTTTAAAGACTTTAGTAAAACACTGAATTAATCAAATTACTCATTCAAATTTTAAGGCTATTAAATGGCCACTTCACATTTTTGCAGAGCAAGCAGACAAAAATGAAAGAAAAAAACCCCTCCTAACACAGGTTTATTATTATGCAGGCAAAACATTAAAAATCGAACTCAGCAAAGACGGCCAGTAGATGACGGCTGCCGGTCTTAGATGGGTTCATCCTTCTCGCTGAAGGTGGTGTCATCATCTTGGCTCCCATCACTCTCTGCGTCGGAGCTGTCCGAGAGGTCAGGGTCTCCAATGAAGAAGGAACCCAGCCTGCCGGGAAAAGTATGCCTTCCCTCCACTACAGCAGATACATCGGGCTGAAATGTGGCACACTACATAAACCACACATGTGCACACACACACACACCACATGGTAATTAAAACGCATTTTTGACCTAAGCACTATAACAAATACCATTAATTACAATGAGGGTTTTCAGTGGCTAAAAATACAACAAAAAAACATCTTTGCACTGCTAATTTATTTGTTATACTTTAGCTGTAAAGGTTGGCACAAACCTGAATGCCACAGTCAACCTCGCTGGCTTGGCTTGTCTGGATGTTACCCAACTGCTTGTTAATCCAGCTGGAATCTCCCTTTTCACACGACTCTGAAAAGGAGAAAGATATTTTACTCAGTCTTTCATAAGACAGGAAGAATCGATATTCAATTTCCAATATTTGAAAAAAATCCAAGATGTTGTTACTAAGGCACGTGGAAAAAAGTTTTGAAAATTACATTTAATTCTTTTTTATAACTTGGAATGGGTGTGGCTATTAGATCATGTTATGAGGTATTGTACATTACTAAAAATAAACCTTTATAAAGTACAAAAGCTCAGGCAAATGTAACTGCGATTTTGTCACGTACAATTTGAAACGTTATAGATCATGTTTTGTAAACTAAAAAACAGGCATCTATTGTGCATGTTCTTGCTAAACGTACCATTTCAAGAAACATTGCTGTTAATGGCACTGCTGCATAGTACACAGGACTCAAAATGCAAGTGTATAACAGTGAATGTATCCAATCCATTTATGGAAAAAAGGGGCTTAAATAGTCAAGATAGAAATTCATTCCTCAAAATACTCTGCAATGATAAATATCTAAGAAAAACATGCGTTGACGCCTGAAGCCCAATCACCAAGAGCTTTAACAATGCTAAAAAACCACAAGGGCAACCCCAACACCATCCAATTCGTCACATGCATATTATACAAATAAGCAAACTATCGAGTTGAAGACTTACAAAACCACTTATAAACATCTGATTTTTAAATATACCTCAACAGAAAAAAAAACAGAAGTGAATATATTACCTGGAGGTTTGGAACACCTGATTGTTAGACGAGAAATAGAGTCCAACAAATTCCAGCAATCGTCTTCTTGCTCCTTGGTCTCATTGTCGGACCAACAATTCTTACAAGCAAGAAATGGCTATAGAAAAAAAAGTAACCAAGGACCAAAGTCAGCAAAATGGTATAAACATTTTCATATGCAAACATACTTCACAAACGTCCAAACTGGCTCATGTGGACAGTCAGGAAATACAGTATGCCCTCGAAATCACTTGGGGGGATGTACTGTCCGACATGTAATTTGTTTGGGGTAAACCCTACACATAAGCAACATCAACTTAAAATGCACATTTCAATGTTGTGTAGACTCAATTTAATACTGTACTTCTACTGTAGCATTGGCTTGTGTATTCAAGAATTATCTTGTGATTTCCATTACATTCACTTTATTTTCATGTTGCTCATATTAAAAAGCAATATAAACACTGCAAGCTATAAATGGGATGGAACATGTCCATTGAAAAGGGGCATCTAACCCACGAATTAGCTCAATATATTAATGGTATTTTATGTTTTCATTTTAACAGATTACACAAAATAGAAACAAAATTGAATTCTTAGTGTTACCTTTGCATATCTTTCTTGCTCATCAGAAGTTGAGTAAACTCCACCAAGAATGAAGGATCCATAGCACTCATCTGTTCCACGTTCTCCACCAGTGCTTTGTTGCTCAATGTCCTTATTGGCATCATGCTTTGCATTGGAACCAAAGCACCCAATAACGTGAGGCGCACTGGAACTTTCAGATGCACACTCTTGAACACAATCATCCCCACAAGCCACAGTGAGTTTATCTTGCGAGTCCAGGGATGTTTGTGCTCCCCTCTCAATCGCAGTCTTCCTTACTTGTGGAACCTCCATATGTTGTGTATCGGTTTCACTTTGTGCATAGCATTTGTATTCCTGGTAATTAGCGACTGCATCTTCTTCTAGGGGCCTTAGATCGGCCTCTGGTTGTTCAAACAAGTCGCTGTATGTTACAATGGGCAGGGTTTCATCACCCTTCTCCGATTCAGAGTCTGATGTATCACCTGCAAATGGAGAAAGCTCGCCAGCTTGAATTGGGCGGAAGTGGGTACGTGGCGAGATCCGTATGGCACGGTACTGCATCTGGCAAAGCCCATACACTTTGTGGTGTTCCAGGTTGTGTGCTTCTGTGCCCGAGCTCAAAACGGGTTTCGGCTTGAAGGGCGCATCCAGTGGAGAATCGACATCAGGCTGTACAGCACATTGAACACTCAGAAGATGTGAAAAATGACTGTTGAGATCTAGTGACGGGAAAGTGCACTTGATGCCAGGGCTGTGACAAAAATCTGATCCAAGGTAATTGCTGTAACTTCCCCCACAATCATCTTGCAAAAGGAATGGGATGGTTGCATCCATTCTCTCCTCCCACTTTACAGACAGTCCACCTTGAGCAAATGGAAAGCGAGATTTCCAAAGGGATTTGTGTTGTGCATGAAAATGTGGTGCCATACACAAGTTTGGGCCTGCAATAATTACTGCATTTGGGGATGCACTCTCAAGCAAACTGCTGTCTTTTTGTTCAGTGCTCGATACAGAAGCCCAGTTTTGCATGCTTGAACATTCATCCTTTAAATGCTTTCCTGTTCCATATACACCACCCAAAATAAACGACGTGTCTGTTTCCTCGGTCATATCCCACACTTTTTCTGATGTTCCTTCTGCCATTACTGATGCATTGGAATTTACATTATCCCAAAGACGATACTCTGACCGCTGTACAGCTGTTGAAGCCATTTTAGGCAAACATTTTTTTCCTTCTACATTGCAAGGTGGGGTTGTAACCTCGACTGTAAAAGTATGGTTTGTAACAGAAGCAGAGTGGCTGAAGTTTGGTGGTGGTAAAACATCATGAGAAGTCTCGTTCAAAAATTGTATTGAATTCCCTGAGCTAGATTGGTGAGGAAATGCTGAAAGAGGGGAGGACAAATAAATAGTTTCATTGACAAGTGGGATTTCCTCTCCATCTTCCTCTAATTGTATACCACAAACAGCAGCCAACTTCGATCCATGCTTGCAGCTTAATGGGGGCAATTTTCTCAAAGCACCATCAACATCAAACTGATTATGTTGTGGAATTAAGTTGAGAAGATCAGACTCTTGCATGGTGACAGAATCAGTTAGGCTACTAACATTCTTTTCCTCTGCTGGAAATTTTGATAAATCGTCGCCCTGTAAGTTGAATGAAGCTGCATCTTCAGAACGAACATCATCAGAATGGGACCATGGACTGCCAGTCCGTGTGGACAAACTAGAGAAAGGGCCATCATCTTCACACGTTTGAGAGCGGGTCCACATTGCCAGGCGAGAGGTTTTTGCTGCACCTGTATCTTCCCATAATGCTGAACCAAGCTTCTCACTTACTGTGTCTACAAACACTTCCAAAGGGCCCCGAGGTTGGTTTGTAAACTGAACGTCTACTTCAGGGAAAAGAGCAGCCATATCTAAACCGGGCTCAGGTTTGGGAAACTTATCTTTGTCAGAATTTAACTGTTCAATTTGAGGGCACTCCTTGCTTTTGATTACAAGGCAACCAAATCTCTCATCAATGTGGAAAATTGGACTGTTGAAAAATGACACAAGATGGTCATCTTGCGAGCCTTCATCTTCTGAACAGAATGAAGGAGATGAACAATCCCAGAACCGAGCAACTGTTGGGCTCAGCTTGTTAATGCTATTGTTGCCATCCTGGGAATCACGGAGGTTCAGAATTTCAGGTTTTTCCAACACCTGTTCATCTGTCCATATTGCACTTTCACTTTCTTTACTTTGAGTCTCAAAAGAACCAACATGATTTTCACTTTCCACTGAAACGTGCTCCGTGCTGTTTTGGTGGATTAGCTTTAATATACGACTGCTGTTAGGCAGCAATTCAGATGCAGAAGGATCCAACATGGATTGATAAAAATTTACTTCACGGAAGTAATCACAGTCTAAACAGTTTAGCTCAGTACGGATGTTGTTCTTTAGCTCTGTAGTTGGCATTTCACGCTCAGCTCCATCAGAAGAAACTACTGGCACTTCCACAAAGCACCCATCAATAAATGTGCCTGCTGACCTAAAAACATCATCGTATGCATTTTTACTGTAATGTGGCGGATGAACTTCTTCGGAACGCTTGGCCTGTGGATGCAACTCAGAGTTTTCAGCTTGTGAACTAGCAAGCCCACGGTACGACGTTTCTAGTTTGCTCTTCTGGTTCTGCGACACAAAGCAAACACCAAGGGGTTCTGTATACCACATTGGTTCTTCTTGAAGACCTTGTCTTCTAGTTTGGCCAAACAGGTTTTCCTCACTCGTCAATTCCAAATCATTACTTTTTCCCCTTTCTTTTTCAGCAAAGCCCCCTCTGGAATATGATTCATATCTGGCTGTACCACCACCAAAATATTTGCTTTTGTCAAATTTCTTAGAATATTTCCTTGACGGCTTAACCATTGCTTCTTGTAACCTTGGTACCCGGTCAGTTTCTCTAATTCTCTGCTTTAGACGTAATGCCTTTCTCAAGGTGTTCACTTCAATCGGTCTGTTGGAGCCAGAGGCAGATCCAGCATCACTCGAGTCAGAAGAGCCCGAATGTGTTCTGAGCAATTTCCCTTCTCCAGACAACCTAACCCTTCCTTGCCGACGCGAGAAAGATGGCTTGGCCTTATGACGCTTGCAGATGCTACGATCATGCTCGTTCTCTTTGCCGCTGTCTCTCTGCCCTGGAGAACTACCAGACTCTGGCTTCCCAGACGGTCTCTCCCGGACTGTCTCGTCATCATCACTGCATAACTCGACTGGGGAGGAGGTCTCTGTGCAGGCTTGCTGGAGGGTAGACGTTGAAGAGACAGAGTCAGAGGTGGAAGAACTGGTGCCTCGTAGCATCTTGGCTTTACAGACCCAGACAGATGTCGAAGTTGCAGGAAATGGGGCAGTCTTTTCTGATAGAGCAGGGAATGCTTCATAGTACCTGCAAAACAACATATTTGTTAAAGGAAAAAAATTATGCAAAGAGAAAAAAATCATAAAAATGTTGGTACATTTTAAGATTACTCACATTTCAGCTTCATCCTTGTTAGAAGTTGGCCCATCATCAAGTGATGGAGATCCTTTCTTTGGTGTGAGCTTCCCAAAAGACTGTCCATCTGTAAAAAAATTGCTTATGTTTGTAAAAAATATATTAAATATATCTTTCACTCGATAAACACTGCGTTTAGCCTATGGTTGCTCACCTACAACCGGTCAACCGTAGCTATTTTCACAATTAATTACCGGTTACAAAAGTCAAGAACGCGTAATAATTTTTAATTATAGTAAGGAATGCACTGATTGGCATGCGCAGTGCAACTCTGAAAGTGCTTGCTTGCACAATTACTAGTAGAAAGAGCCTCCACTAAAGAGAGCCCTAGGTTTTTGGTCTCCAAGTCAATGCGGACAAGGAATCTTGAAAGTGGGCGTAACCCACTTTTTCCCACCATATGTGACCTGCCAATCAAATAAATGTGGTGTACCACCCAATCGTGCTGCTGGGCAAACAGAAGCAGGAGGACAATACATTTCAACCATTGCTTCCCCACCAGTTCCCTTGGTGTCGCAGTTAAACAAGTAAAAAAAATGTGATGTTTATTGAAAAATATATTTATATATGTGTGACAAACCAGTAAAAAAAAGTCTGTGGTCTCTGGTAAAAAACTACTTCAACAACCCTAGTTTAAACTAGCCTCACTTCATGGTGCAGACAAATGGTAACAATTTTTTTTTATGCAATTTTATTTATTATACTCTATGCTACATATTCTACACACGTACCCTTTTGCTGGTCTTGGAGATCTTTTAATTTACAACAGAGCTCTTCAACCAACATTTCTATACCGGATGTCTGGAAAACACAATATTTGAAAACACATCAGTTCAGCTGTAAGTGGTTGTTTTAGTCACCATTCATCACAGTTGACAAATATTCAAATGCCTGCATTAAAACTGTATACAATATATTTTAACTCCGTTCCTACAGTATGCGATATCCCGCACCTCTGATTAGCATGGTTGGCTACGTACGGTGCAAAATAAGTTCAACATACATACACAAACTTTTAAACCCAAGTTGTAGAATATACTGGTCCTCAAAGAAAAGACTATACATTTACATTTGAAGGTATAGTGCCAGCAGTGTTCACATAAATATAGTACATGTTTTAATATTTATGAAAGTGACAAATAACTATCATTCTCATAACATGTGCTAAGTCATTAAAAGGACTTGTGAAGACAAATGGCGGTTTACCAATAGGTATGAGGCACCAAAATCAGTTGGGTATTTATCAATCATGTTTAAATATAGAATATACACTTGCCTTATTTGTAAATAATTTAAAATGTACTTTAATCAGATACTGTATTCCAAAGCTTAAGGTATAACTTTGACCTTTTATAAAACTCATGACATCAAGAGATTGGTATGAGAAGGCAGGCCACACCTTCACCATTGCCCTTCATTTACACTTGCTGCAGGATTAGCAAAAGTCACATGACCTTGTGGAATGTGGGTCTCTGCTCTGTCGGTCTACCACAGTACTTGAATTAAAAATAGCAACACCAGCCACTGGGCGGGCTCTCGTCCCGTCCCACAGGAACCGGCTTTTTCGCACTTAGTGCCACATCATTATTACAGTTTCACTATCTCACGCAAACATTCCAGCACATTGAACACGAGATACACCACACCATTTATTTTCAAACAAGTTTAACATTATTGCTGTTAAGTCTACTACACGTTTTTACACAAAACACGCTCATCCAGTACTTAATTTAATTTTGGTCAAATATATAAAATGGCGTTTTAAATGACAACACGTTCAGACGTAACCATACTGTTAGTTTATACAGTGACGTCTTATGAGCAAGCCCAAGTCAGCTGACATTAAAGCTGGTAAACTGAGATGATCAGCAGGATAAAAATAGCTGGCACACCAGAGCCAAGCAACAGACAAAGTAACACAGGCACAAGCGAGGCAGAATTATTTTTGTCATTAAATTATACTCTGCATATTTCATATTCCAGTACGTTTGGTAACCGACCACCATTTTTTCAACACTTACATCAAATAAAAGCGGTTTCAAGTTATACATATGTAACTTTATTCTACGTTTAGAAAAGAAACCCATAGCAAACTTGTACAAACAAAATAAAATAATTTCTTGAAGCACTGATGGATTGGCAGACGACTTAATTTAGCAGTGGCAGTGATCCAAGAACTATCTAATAATCTGTTGTGGTCACGTGCCTGACTTTCATTGAAACTTAAATCCTACTTGAAAAACACGTTTTTAAGGTATCCATACAAGCTACAAAAAATAGTTTAGAGATATCCTTCACTTTATAAACATTCGGTTTACAAAATTTCGTGTGAACCAAATTGACAAATTATGGATACTTTTTTTAATTAATTAAATCGAATTTTCACGTTAACAAATTTCATTCATATGGCACACGCCATGAGATCAAACAAGAATCACCCAGGAGGCTTCATCATTCATCTGTGACAGCATTACGCATCATGGTATTCCTCGTGCAACATTAACGTCTCCACATCACTTTTCCGGTCATTCCAACATGACCGGAAAGGAGAGGTCCCTTAAAAGGTGGCAACTATTTTTTTATTAGTCAATGGTTTATAACATGTTGTGTATTAGTATAAATTCGATGTCATGAATAAAAGTGGGTGGCTTCCTTTATGTGCAACCCCATCCACTTTTATTCAGTACATACTTTTATTTTATTTCTGGGGTGAAAATAACGTATTTCTGCTTTCGAGTGCAAATAAAAGTGTGTGCATTGAGAAACTTGTTTTACCTACTTTTTGTATTGGTGAAACTATAATATTTTTCTGTATTATTGTATCAAGTTGAAATTACTGTCCAAAACACATCCCTAATTTTTTGTAATAAATGGTAAAAGCAATTCCGTTTAACGCGGGTTTTTTGAAGAACACATCTCTTTCGTAAATCTAGGTATACCTGTACAGATAGTCCGAGTTACGATGGTCCGACTTACGATATTTCGATCTTACGATGGCGATAGCGATACGACAAAATTGTAAAATATTTTTTATTTCGCGCGTCAGGCAAACGCAGCAGCGTACTAGGTACGATAAATACATAAATACATACAGTATATAGTTTATACAGTACGGTAATGTAAATTGCTCTGTTCAAAGACTTCTGGGTAGGCTAGGCCATCTTCGACTTGCGATATTTTTAACTTACGATGGGGTCGTTGTAACGCATCTCCATCGTAAGTAGAGGACTACCTGTATATCGTTTAATTTGTGAGACAGTTGATTGTATTACAGCTAAATGGGGTTAACCCTAATTAGTATTTTATAGCAGCACTTACCACACTCCATTTGCATGTCCAAGGCGACTTTTTATCAAAACAATTAATCTTTCTTTAAAAAAAAAATTACCTACCACCAGGTGCAGTTCCAATAATCAGTGCAAGTGTAATTTATTTCCACATGTAAAACATTAGGCTTGAAAAAAACATGTTTAAATATAACCAAGTAGACAACTAATTTTCACTTTTCTAAAATAAACCATGAACACTTTCTGAAATGTGTGGCTTGAATTTGTTCTAATTTACACATTTTTATGTTTAAATATGCAATTGGCTTTGTCTGCTGCCATTTTGCAACTTATTTTTGGAAACAGTCTGCTATAATTACGTATACAAAATAAGTGCCTCTTTAATATAACATAACTATTTATAGCACATGTAAACATCTACTGAAAACCTCACGTGGTTGTTTTCAATGGGAGACTTCTCCACAGCAAATACACTTGCCTACCTCTTCTGAAGCAGAGCGGAGACATTGGACAGCAGCCTGCTTCTTCATCTCCTCCAAACTTAGACCAGACGTCCACTTCTTCTTGTTCTTACCCAAGCGGCGACCTGGTCCTTTGTCCCATGGCACACAGATGTTACCTTCCTGTAAATAAGAATAAAGCAAACAACCATCACTTGCTATATCATTTTAAAGACTAAACATTTTTCGAAAATACAGGGAAAAAAATCACAAATTGACAAAATTTGCATGTTCCCAACCTTAGGTCATATTACACGTTATCACTGACCATTTGTAAATATGGCCAATATAAAATGTATCCCGTCCGTTCAAAGCTTTAGAAAGACTAACCTGTTCTTGAGGTTCCACTTCAAAGGTGTCTTGGAGGAGAAGGCTAAGGATGTAACGTGTGTAAATCACAGCATCTATCCCGCACTTCTCCAGCTCCTGGCCCAACCACGTCTGCACAGGACCCAGGGCCTGCAGTATAGACATGGTGAAGGAACTCTGCACGTCCCTGCAGCCTTCAGACAACTTTTCCAAGGAGAGAACTAAAGATGGGCCTCACGGAGGGAGTTCTGCCTAGAAAACCCATTGTGCAGTATACTTGGTAAGCAATGCCACCTCTGGCAGCCTAGGTAGAGCTTCTCCCTGCCATGTCAGCCAAACCACATGATGTTTAGGTTTGGGTACCTGGAAAAAAAAAATCGTAAATTAAAATTAGAATGCAGTCAATGGTAGTGACAAAATCATTATTTCTATAATATCCAAAACAATTCATGCTCAAAACTTAAAACGGTGTATATATTCACGTGCTTATTATGTTATTGTAATCAAATATTAACTGGGAGATTCCAATGCACGTGTACTTTTCAAACGTAAACAAACGAGTAACACACACCCAGTAGTACTCGCCAGTCTCAGGACTAAACAAATATTCTTAAAGAGCTCGGGCTTTGAGAGCTTAGCTGGATGCGGGGTGTTTGAGAAGCCCCGCGCGTGGGTAACTTCACCGCGTCGTGAAAAGCAAAACAAAACAGACGCGTGCTCACTACACGCGCTATCAACCTTACAAACAGCCACGCCATCTTGGGGCGCCGTTAAAGACACTCCCTCGCGCTTCCACGGTTACCACGTGTGTCCTTTTAAAGCCCAACAACGACCCCTCTATAGCAACCCGTATCACGGCAGTAAATGGGTAGCAAGGCGCCAAAACAGATTTCGTCTGTGCGCGACCACATCCAACCCGGTCCCCCTGTGTTTTTATTCAATTGTAATATTCACCGAATTTAACACATACCCCCCCCCCTTACCCGCCTTTTCGATATCTACGTATTTGCTAAGCATTAAAAACGCTGTTTATCACAGAATCAAGAAAAATGGAAGACAGAGGCAAGTCACGTATATACGCGAACAGTTGATGACGAACCTAACACCTATTATGTACAGTATTTAACAAGGGACGAACTGTATTCGATTCAGGTAGAAAATCCTTTTATTTGTCGACTTGAAAAACATTTAAAGCGTTAATGTGCACGTAACACATGTATTCCTTTGTTACATTGTGTCTCCCAACATTTAACCAACACCACCAGAGGAGCCTCAATCTAACACGTCTGGCTGCGTTTTTAAACGTCCATAACTTCGCCCTAAACACGTGATATTGAGGCGCTCCACCATTGTTGTGAATACAAGCGCCCCACTCAGTCGGAAACATTCCTTTCTTAATATAACTCGTCCCTTTTGGAAGTATAAAACGAGTAACTTCGCGCGAAATCAACGTTTACCGCGTTACATGAATAACTCGGCACTGCCATGGTAATGTGGAATTTCCACAATTTCGCAAGCCTCAGAAAACGACTAACACATCACCCTGATCGTGTCGAGCGGTATTACCACTCAAAAATGTGTCGAAATGACCAATTACCTTAACGAAAACTAAACTAAACGCGTTGTTATTGTTGTTGAAGCGCCGGCCGGAGAGGGGGGTGGGGGGAGATTCAGGAAAGCCCGGGCTGAGCGACTGGCCGCTAGGCCGCACGCAAGGGCACTGGCCTCGCTCATTCAATCCGCAGGGTTTAAACCGCGACGTTAACACAACACGCGGGAGCACTCGAGAGTAACAAAACGACTCGACGGCGACAGAAAACAACAATGGCATTCGCGTTATAACCGCGGAGTTCCTCACCTCCCCTCACGCACGCAACGACGAGGCGAGGGACGCGGCCGCGCCGGGCGGAGACGTCACGTGACGAAGCCCCACCCCCCCAAACCCATTCACCCCCCAACCCCCCCAACCCACTCACCCCAACCCACTCACCCCCCAACCCACTCACCCCAACCCACCCCTCACCCACTCACCCCCCCTCACCCCCCCCCTACTCACCCCCCCCTACTCACCCCCCCACCCACTCACCGCCCCCACCCACTCACCCCCCCACCCACTCACCGCCCCCACCCACTCACCGCCCCCACCCACTCACCGCCCCCACCCACTCACCGCCCCCACCCACTCACCGCCCCCACCCACTCACCCCCCCCACCCACTCACCCAACACCCACTCACCCCCACCCCCTCACCCCCCCACCCCCTCACCCCCCCACAACCCACTCACCCCCACCCCCTCACCCCCCCACCCACTCGCCCCCCCAACCCCCACCCCCCAACCCCCACCCCCCAACCCACTCACTCACCCGCCGCACGAAATCCCTCCGCCGATTGTTTATTAACAACGCAACACCCCCCCACCGCGTATCCCTCCGCGTAGAGGAGAAAAATAAACCCCCGCGCGCTCAAATCGGAATTTTATTCGTTCCACCGAACGCTCCCCCTTCCTCGCTATAGATAATCGATATTTAAATGAGCAATCGAGACAATGGCTCGCGGACGAGTGGCGTCGTAGAGACGAGGGCCCCCCCCTACCCCCTACCCGTGTGTGTGCTATCTATTCTGACCCGGGGCTTCGTGGGTGGTGGGGGGGGGGTCGGGAACAACGTTTACATTCCGTAGACGGAACGCGCGGCGCGTCTGTCTTAGGCGATTCCCATTGGTCGAGGCGAGCCCCCTGAGCGTCGCAAGCTCGCCTGCGATTGGCTCATCGCGGAATGGCGCGCGGGTTTCTGCGCAAGCGGTCTGTGTAATGTAAAGGCACGGAGCGGTTACCCCCCCCTCCTCCCCGCGCTGGGGGTCACGGGGTCGGGGCTGAGCCAGACGCCCGTGCCAGATCAGAGGTTTTACCTTCAAAAGCAAAGCTCCCCCGTATAGCCTGCCACGGGCTGTAGGGGCAAGTGCTGTTAAGCGAGTCGCACCTACGACGGCCGGCACGGCACACGAAGGGGGGTGGTTGGCCCACAACCACGCCCGACCGCCTTTGTCTCCCCCAGTGGCGATGTTTACACACCGCACCAGGTACTAATTCGAGGCTGAGTCGACCTAGGGGAGGCCCAGATAATCGTCACTGGGTGTTGGCCGTGAGCAAGAATCAAACTCGGGTCGCTAAGATCGCAGCACAGCGCGATAATCGATAGAACCAGCGCTCCCTACATCACACACACACACCGTTTGTGTATTTTGCATTTGAAAAGTGATACATTAACAAAGACGCCCTTTTACTAAGAGAGGATCTGTTAATCTCATAGACGTCTGGACTACGTTTCCGTGCCCCATATGTCTTCCTGTACTGTGTTAGGATTATTGTTCTTTTTTTTGTTAAAAGAACATTGTCAGTATATTTATCCATTTTAAACGGGTGGTTAAACATCCAGCGACGTCATTGAGAAGGCCATTGCGTGCCCGGCAACTTGGTACGATGTCAACAGAAACATCGCCCCCCCCCCCCCACTACTTTGAAGCTATTGCAGACTATAACTGTATTAGTTTAACACATAGGCTTTCACGAACAACATAGTCCATAATACAGGTTTTTGGGGGTTAGATCACGTAAAAATATAAATGTGTCGTTAAACCCGCCACCACCCGACACAGCCAATTAGTAAGGTTAAACCCAACACCTTACTAATTGGTTGTGGCAGGTTTAACGACACATTTATATATTTACGCGATCTAACCGAAAAAAAACTGTAATATGGATAACAGTATTATAAAACAACGCTTTCGTGATAGCCCTGCGTTATATATATATATAAAGCGCCAATAACTAATCAAATGTAAATGATAATAAAAAATTTGGAAAAATGCCCAAAATCATTAAAACCGGGAGGCTACATCGGTAATTATTGGTGTATTATGTGTGGAGTTTCCCCCACACCTTAATCCGGCAATAAAGTATGGAGGTGAAATATAGAGAACTCCAATAATCCGTGAATTGATTACGGTAAATCGGGTTGGTTCGCGATTCGTGGTATCGCCGACCATGAAATCCACACAAATCTCTTGATTCGTAGCGAGGAATTCCTCCCGTCATCTGTGGCACACCACGTCGGCGTGGATTTTTTGCAGATTGCGAGCAGGGCCGGATTGAGGTTGTGGGACCAAAATGCTTCCAGGAGCGAAGAGCCTAAGTATGAAGTCATCAACACGTGTATTTACCTTTGTTAAAAAAAAGTGCATTCCACTCAAGATACATTCAATTCATGAAACACAAATCACTGCACCCATTTCTACAAACAAACTAAAAAAAAATCCTAGCTTCAATTGTGGTCATGAATGATGTAACCAGAATAATAAGACAAAAAGTATTCCAATGTCTGAACATTTCAATTTGGAACGGAGGGCCTGAGAATAGGGCCCACAAAATATTGGCCTATGTGTAGTGGAGTAGCGCAGGTGTTTGCAAGCGAGCGGTGTGCACGCATGTGCGGAGAGAGACAGCAACCAGAGATGGTGACCAATTAAGATGCATAACGGTGATTGGCTGGCTGCAAATGCAGACACGGGGTAGGCGTCTCAGAGTCTGGAGAATGAGGCGATAGTGGCGGAAGCCACGGGCATGAGGCGACAGGAGGTGGCCAGCTTAAGTAATGATGAGGAGTTAATGAGTCAGGGGATATAAGGCGATGTGCAGAGACACATGGGGAGAGTTGTCAGTTGGGTTGGTTGGAGTGAAGACAAGACATGTCCGACCCCGCTCTCCACACCTCGTCCTCTCCAGCGGGGATGTCTGGTCCCCCGCTGGAGGCAGGGGCGAGGATGGAGGAACGAGGGTAGACAGGCTAGCAGTAGAGAAGCTGGCAGAGTGTATAGTGAGAGGCTAGCAGTAGAGAAGCTGGCAGAGTGTATAGTGAGAGGCTAGCAGTAGAGAAGCTGGCAGAGTGTATAGTGAGAGGCTAGCAGTAGAGAAGCTGGCAGAGTGTATAGTGAGAGGCTAGCAGTAGAGAAGCTAGCAGAGTGTATAGTGAGAGGCTAGCAGTAGAGAAGCTAGCAGAGTGTATAGTGAGAGGCTAGCAGTAGAGAAGCTAGCAGAGTGTATAGTGAGAGGCTAGCAGTAGAGAAGCTGACAGAGTGTATAGTGAGAGGCTAGCAGTAGAGAAGCTGACAGAGTGTATAGTGAGAGGCTAGCAGTAGAGAAGCTGGCAGAGTGTATAGTGAGAGGCTAGCAGTAGAGAAGCTAGCAGAGTGTATAGTGAGAGGCTAGCAGTAGAGAAGCTGGCAGAGTGTATAGTGAGAGGCTAGCAGTAGAGAAGCTGGCAGAGTGTATAGTGAGAGGCTAGCAGTAGAGAAGCTGGCAGAGTGTATAGTGAGAGGCTAGCAGTAGAGAAGCTGGCAGAGTGTATAGTGAGAGGCTAGCAGTAGAGAAGCTGGCAGAGTGTATAGTGAGAGGCTAGCAGTAGAGAAGCTGGCAGAGTGTATAGTGAGAGGCTAGCAGTAGAGAAGCTGGCAGAGTGTATAGTGAGAGGCTAGCAGTAGAGAAGCTGGCAGAGTGTATAGTGAGAGGCTAGCAGTAGAGAAGCTGGCAGAGTGTATAGTGAGAGGCTAGCAGTAGAGAAGCTGGCAGAGTGTATAGTGAGAGGCTAGCAGTAGAGAAGCTGGCAGAGTGTATAGTGAGAGGCTAGCAGTAGAGAAGCTGGCAGAGTGTATAGTGAGAGGCTAGCAGTAGAGAAGCTGGCAGAGTGTATAGTGAGAGGCTAGCAGTAGAGAAGCTGGCAGAGTGTATAGTGAGAGGCTAGCAGTAGAGAAGCTGGCAGAGTGTATAGTGAGAGGCTAGCAGTAGAGAAGCTGGCAGAGTGTATAGTGAGAGGCTAGCAGTAGAGAAGCTGGCAGAGTGTATAGTGAGAGGCTAGCAGTAGAGAAGCTAGGCAGAGTGTATAGTGAGAGGCTAGCAGTAGAGAAGCTGCAGAGTGTCATAGTGAGAGGCTAGCAGTAGAGAAGCTAGCAGAGTGTATAGTGAGAGGCTAGCAGTAGAGAAGCTAGCAGAGTGTATAGTGAGAGGCTAGCAGTAGAGAAGCTGGCAGAGTGTATAGTGAGAGGCAGTAGAGAAGCTAGCAGAGTGTATAGTGAGAGGCTAGCAGTAGAGAAGCTGGCAGAGTGTATAGTGAGAGGCTAGCAGTAGAGAAGCTGGCAGAGTGTATAGTGAGAGGCTAGCAGTAGAGAAGCTGGCAGAGTGTATAGTGAGAGGCTAGCAGTAGAGAAGCTGGCAGAGTGTATAGTGAGAGGCTAGCAGTAGAGAAGCTGGCAGAGTGTATAGTGAGAGGCTAGCAGTAGAGAAGCTGGCAGAGTGTATAGTGAGAGGCTAGCAGTAGAGAAGCTGAGCAGAGTGTATAGTGAGAGGCTAGCAGTAGAGAAGCTAGCAGAGTGTATAGTGAGAGGCTAGCAGTAGAGAAGCTGGCAGAGTGTATAGTGAGAGGCTAGCAGTAGAGAAGCTAGCAGAGTGTATAGTGAGAGGCTAGCAGTAGAGAAGCTGGCAGAGTGTATAGTGAGAGGCTAGCAGTAGAGAAGCTGACAGAGTGTATAGTGAGAGGCTAGCAGTAGAGAAGCTGACAGAGTGTATAGTGAGAGGCTAGCAGTAGAGAAGCTAGCAGAGTGTATAGTGAGAGGCTAGCAGTAGAGAAGCTGGCAGAGTGTATAGTGAGAGGCTAGCAGTAGAGAAGCTAGCAGAGTGTATAGTGAGAGGCTAGCAGTAGAGAGCTGCAGAGTGTATAGTGAGAGGCTAGCAGTAGAGAAGCTAGCAGAGTGTATAGTGAGAGGCTAGCAGTAGAGAAGCTAGCAGAGTGTATAGTGAGAGGCTAGCAGTAGAGAAGCTGGCAGAGTGTATAGTGAGAGGCTAGCAGTAGAGAAGCTGGCAGAGTGTATAGTGAG